TTTCCTTACAGCGGTGGGTGGAGGATGTAAAAATGTAAAAAAAAAACAGTTACATGGATTTACTCGAGCGCGTCAGATATTGATAGTGAATAAATCAAACGCGTTTCTGATGAAGAAGATATGCTAATCTGTCGGTTTGCACGGTGGTAGTGGGCGTACGGAAGGGTCAAAAATGGGTGACAAAAAAGTTTACTCGAGCGCGTCAGATATTCACAAGGGATGTTAAATGGGTGCGAATGAACCTCCCATTCAATAATCTGACGATTCAGATGTGACGCAAGCTCGTGACGTCTTCATGAAGATGCAAAAAAAATCGCCATTTGGATTTACTAGAGCGCGTCAGATTTTCATACAGTAGGGAAATTTCGCAGAAAAATCTGTAGTAGTTTTGAAAAACAGTAAGTGCACGCACTAATCTTTGTTGACGATTTTCGTTACTCCGGCATGTGGAAATCGTCATATTACATACTTCCCGTTATCCTTCAGCGCGTTGGCCGCGCTCGAGAATGTGAATGTAACGTTTTTTTTTTTTTGCAAGTTTGCGACCCCCCAACCCCTTGCGTCACGCTCAAATCGTCAGATTATTGAAATGCACACTTTTCAGCATGTGATTAACTCACCATTTCTTTATCTGATGCGCTCGAGGAAATCCCCGAATCCCCTCTTGGGCTCCCCTACTATAAGTATGTACATATATGTACATACATTTACAAATACTTCAATAGCTCTTTCGAAAAAGAGGCAGGTCTTCATGTTAATCTGGCGCAAGAAGTATATAAATTAAGGGTTTTAAGTATGTTATTCAACACAACAAAATAATACTTTTTTGTCTGCTGATGACCAAAAATACTTACATACACACATATGTATGTATCTAATACTATTTAGATGCTTGCATGCCAGGGCCGGAATCAGAAGACTGCGTCCACCCACATTTGTATAGCGATTAAAAACATTTAAAGTTTTTAATTAGAACGACATCTGTCACCTATTGTCAAAAAATTCAAAACCAAATTTTCCAAGCGTGTGCATATGTACGAATTTACATATTGCTTCAATAAATATATACATACATGCACGCATTCATACAAACACATGTATGTACGTACATAAGTACGAGTATGTATGTATCTATATAAGAAACAGAATTTGCCAAAACAAAATCTTTAGTAATAATCTCGAGAAAAATGAATTTATGTCATTAGAAAACCAATAAATTTACGAAACAAATATGTTTTTATGAGCATTTAGAAATAAAACGCAACCACGACGAACTAGAAAATCACATGGGAGGTTCTATGAAATCGTCAGGCGTAACTGTGGTGTTTTTCGAACACCCACGTAGTGAACGATGAAAACAACATAAAACGATGAAAAATGTATGAAAATATTGCCGATGTACGTGACTTTGCTGCAATATTTATTTACTTAGTTGCATTAGGGCAGTGCCTATGAACCTGTAATTTACATCTATGTAAGTAGTATACTCAATGCATAGAAAACACTACACTTAATAAGTACGATATGTAACAAAATTGTGCTTGACTTAAAGAACACAATACAATGTTGCTATATTTTATACACTTGCCAAATTTTGATACGATTGAGTGGTTGAAAAAGCAATAAACGAAAATTATTTATGAAGCATTGAAGAACTAGATTCCCTTTACGTTATAAGAATAAATTCACTGGTGTGCTAGTAGAATTACTGCACCTTTCTGCTTATGGCTCGCAAGTAAAAAACTACATTTCTGGCGTGGCAAACAAGTGGTGCCAACCACAACTGTGGTTTTCCTCGCAATTATTGCCACAATGTCTCTTTCAGCAATTTCGGGTGGCTAGTTACATTTGCTTTTGGACTTTTCTTAAGGGAATGGTAAATATTAAGAGATTTTTTTTTACTAAAACTGGCAGCTTTGCGAATCAGAGCAGAATGCCCCTAAACATCCAATCGAAGAAATTCTCAAGTTCGGAGTAGAACGTTTCAGGTACAAAATGTCGCGCTAGAAATCAATAAATAGGGATTAGGTGTGATTTTTAATATGATATAGGATTACCAGTAAACATATTTGACACAAAATCTGAGCTTTTATACATCGCATTTTTTAATTATTTTGACATACACAGGAAGTAAAGTTAGTATCCCAATGTACACTTGAGCCCGAAAGTTGTCGGAAAAATAAACCGAAATATCGCTTAAAAAGAGCAAAAAAATTAGGAAAACTCCAGAAAGATACAGAGAGATAAGAAACATATTCAGAACACTTCTGAAAAAAAATTAAAAGCACCCAAAAAAATTCTAAAGAAGTTCTGAAGAAATTCTGAGAAATTCCGAACGGCTCTGAAAAAATCGTGAGAAGTCTCCAAAACCCCCAAACTATGACGAATCTTATTTTATTATCATAAAAGTAAAGTTAGGTTTTAACCAAGGAATGAAACCGAAACCGAAACCGTAACCGTTATCTTGACCTGAAAAGGAACAAAACCGAAACCGTTTCAAGCACAGGTTTCAATCGGTTTCCATAAATTTATAAAAATTATAAATAAAAATTTCTTTGAAATAAATGATTTATTTAACCAAAATCAGCAATATTTTGCTACAATTCTTGTTAAGTAGTAAATAAGTATGGCAAAGTAACTTTTCGCAAAAAGCTACTAAAAAGATGCCTAATAAATTAAATCCCCGATCTCGCATCGGTTATTTGGAAAAAGTCATTTTGATGTTCTAAACCGCACAGAAATGAATGGGTTTCATAATTATTTAGTAAATATTTGACGAAAATAATAATTATATTTTAGATTTCATGCATCTTTAATTTTGCAGCAAAAAGGAAACATTTAAGTGAATCTGGTGACGTTGCTGCTGTGTATCGATAATCGATTAATTCTATTTTATTGTTAATTCAACAGCGAACTGTAATTTTTGATTTTCTTTCCTCAACGTTTAAGACATTGCGATTTTAAATAATATCAACAAAAATTTCTGAATTGATTCAGGTTTTTTCTTTATATAAATTAAAATTAAGCACAATGTTTAATTTCGCCAAAAACAAACCTTGGAAGGTGCATATTTATTTAATAAATTGTTTTCTTTTCGCACTTGTTTTAATTTTTTTATTCCAAAACCGAAACCTGAACGAAATCGAAACCGGAACGTTATTTTGAATCCGTTTCATTCCTTGGTTTTAAATGGATTTTGGGCCGCAACGTCAAAGGCAAAATTCCGAAAGTAAAAAAATAACGATAAGTACCGAAAAATCACGATAAAATCCCGAAGCATAAAATCTAATTAAAATTCAGAAAAGTGCCATTCCGCTAATAACAGTTTTTTGGTAGACAAGTTTCTAGCTCGGAGAGGTTCGACAATTGATGAAAATTCTGAATTGGCCAATTATATAATCTAATGGCGCCCTATAATAAATAATGATTATTCCCACTCAGAAGCAGTGTTGCCAGAATGTTTTGTAGAAACCGGATAAATTCCCAAAAAAAAAACCGCTAAAAACTGCTTAACTGTTTCAACTAAATTTTACATGTTTTATTTAAATAAATCAGAAGTAGAAAGACTTGGAAAGAAGTTGCAAATTCAAGTTGGAAAAAATCTTGACAGCAAAAATTTGCATTTAGGAAAAACATATGATTGTAGAACATGGTTGGATTTTTTTGTCCATGATAATTTGAGTGATTTTGAAATTAAAAATGTAATAAAATACTTGTTTACTTAATTAATTTTAGGTAATTGCACTTAGGTCTCATTTTATGCGATTTTTTAAGCGGATTTTCAAACCATTTTTCGCTGTTGCGATTTTACTTTTTTGAGAGTTGTTATTACTTTTTTCAGTCTGTAAGAGACAATGCCTCTGATAATTAACTTGTCTTTGTATTCTTACATAATTCATGTATTTATTGTGGTATTTATTTTTTATTTTTTTTGTTAAAATGCCGATTTAATTTTATTTAATTCATTAATGTTCAGTTTTACATGGAATAATAGGTGTTGAAGTGAAGAAATAAATTATTTTGTTTTGCATAATATTGCTTCACTGGATTTTTTATGCGGTTTTTTTTGGAATTTTTTACATGGAGTATCTGAATTTATGCTGTTTTTGGAAATGCTGGAACGCATCCGCTGTTTATGTATGAAAATAAAAAACTTTTATATGCGGATTTTTTTATGCGACTTTCTGGGGAACGCATTTACCGCATCAAAAAAGACCTAAGTGTAAATGATTTTAAAGTTACTCGGCTGAATAACACTGTATTTGTAATCGAAATGCAATCGCAACCAGAATCGATTTAGAAAACCCGAAGTACTACGACAAAGAAATTGAAATGTATGTTATAGAAGGTCGGACTAGCAAGAAATATGCATGTAGATTTTCGTTTTTGCCCCTCTGAAAGAATTTGAAAAATTCTATGAAAATTTATTATGTTTGAAATGCATCCGTGGACACTAGCTGGCAGAGTAACTTGCAAATTAGTGCAAATTTGCGATCGTGCAGAAATTTGCTACTTTCACTGCTTGAGAGAGAATTTGGGAGCATTTTTTCTTACTATCTGACATCTAAGAGATAATTGTCGCTGGGTTTTGAGACCAAACCTATGGTCTTCCCAGAGAGTTTTGCTTTATATGGAAATGTGTGCTTTTTTATTTTCATTTTCCCAAACTACTCCCCGAATAGTTCCGACTCATCCCGAAATGGTCCTGAACAAGCCCCGTCTTTTAAGACTTTAAAAATTTGTTCGCACTCATAATTATTATGAAACGACTTTTATAAGTCTCAAAATAAAAGTCTTTGCAGACTTAAAAAATATTTATCTCTCTGATAATTAGGACTGAAGGACTTTTGTAATATAAGTCACTGAATAATAATTATAGATGAATCAAACATTTTTTATTATCTTAATGTAATAATTATTGATTGACTTTTATTCTTTTCTCTTATAATTGTTATGTCTGCTGCTGAATACATTGTATTTCGTATTTCACTTTCACTCACCTTCTTTTTATCTCTCATCGAGCCTTTGCCTCGAACCATTATTTTACAACCAGTCTCTTGTTCCAATTGCTTAGCTGTCATGCCACGTGGACCCAAAATTCTGCCAACAAAATTGAACTGCAAATAAAAATAATGAAGAAGCAACATAAATGTATTGTTGACAATTTATTTTATATATTCATGCAAAAATATACAAGCCATTATATGTCATTGCGGTTATTTGATAATTTCCACAAATGTTTGCACAAAATTTGAGTTAATTTAACGCTTAATGACGCACTCACACCCAGTAACAAAAATACATTCCTACACACGACCACATGATTCCTCCAACACAGAAGCCATAAGCAAAACCATTTTTGTACGTCCGGAGGCGATCATTAAAAGAAATATGTCATACCATTCAAACGACACAAAATTGCAGCAAGATTTTGAGCTTTTGGTCAGCTAACGCGTTCAACACACTCTTGGAATTCAAGGTTAAGGCAATACGATATTTTTGCATATGGCTGCTACTGCCATTAAATTCAATTTCGTTGTCATTTATTTTTATTTTTTTTTTGCACTAAGCAGCTTTGTCAAATTACTACCACCACCATAGACTTCAAACGAAATTCAAGCAGATACACTTGGCAAATCAAACAGAAATCCCCAAAGAAGATGAAAGACATTCAACCATTTCGACGACCGCTTCAAACAAATGTGACTCATACGCACTGGTGACCCAACTAGTGGTGGCCGACACACTTGGGTAATCGCACATTAGAAAAGTATGCATCATTGCGCTGACGGGCACTGAAGTACTTAGCAGGAAATTACCAATTGTTTGCCTGGGGCGTAACACGCCTCACATCGACACGAAAATCCAATCAGTTAAAGGAAGATATGCAAAAACCATGGCAGCGTAAAAAGAATCTCGTTTTCATTAAAACATTTAGCAAATGCATCGCTAGCCGGCACGTCTGCCTGCATTTCAGTGGTGCGAAAACCAGAATGTAGTTACGAGAACGAAAGTGTATAAGTTCATCTTTGCACATCGCTGCACCCAACAGCAACAGCAAACACGTAAGCACATACAAACGTGTTGGAGGCCTTTCTACTTAGTCCACCACCTGCAATTGGAGAATCCGACCTCGAACGTGCCTTCCAAGACGTGCCGCCACTTGGCTGCTCTAAGTAGCCGCATCTAATGGCTAAAAGCGACGGCTGTCGCAATTCTATAGTAGCAATAAGCGCATATCTCATCGGAATGCTTATATGTTCATATGTACATATCGTCGTTTAAAGTGCAAAACCGCGTATCAACAAAATGCAAAACCGAGTATGTGAAGTTGCATAAATTATTTTCTAGAGAGTAAAAACACTCCAATTTCAAAATGGTTCTCTTTCTAATAAAACAATCGCATTTCTGGCAAGTATATTACAGGACGAATGGATAAGGATTGAGCCAAGAGCTTGTGTGAGCAAATCCAGTTTTTGGCAGCAAATGTCAGTTACGCGGTTTTGTACTTTACAACAACGATATACATATATGTATGTGCATATATGCTGCACCACTGCATGCCCACATTTGCATGCACGTCTCGTTCATTTGCCGCTTATTGATTTGCTGGTAAAAAAAACACTCGAATTGTTTGCATTTTTGTTTGAGGTATTTATTTACATGCATCCAGATTGATGCTCAGACGACTACTTGTCACTTTGTTGCTTTATGTCTATCTATCAGTTCGCCAGTATACGAGACTCTTTAACTGCCTTCACTATTTATAAGTGGCATATGGAAAATCGCAAATGCAATTCCTTACCGAATTAGATTTTTCATTAAATTATGATTTTCGATTTGATTTGTGTGCCTTAAAATCTGCTACATTTGGCCATGGGTCGACTAAAACCATAAATGGGCTGGCATTCAACACACACCCAGTTATAAAGCAAACATTCAAATGCAATATTTCTTACCCGTAAAAGTACATGTTTATGTACATATGTGTATGTTGCAAATAGGCTTGTGCAAGCATATAACCATAAATTTTATTCCTCAATGTCAATCGGTTCATAAAAGTCAGAGAAAGACCGCAGTTGGGAGAGCGGTATTTCTCAAGTAATAACAGATAAAGAAGTATAAGTTCGGGCGAAACGGTTCGGTATATACCCGGCGCAGGTATCAAATATCGTCGTTTCAATTTTCTCTAACCTACGTTTGCATGATAAGCAGGGTGCTGAGTTAGACTTAATGAGGTAATTGAACCAAGTTTGGTATAAATCGATAAAGGGGTTACCGAGTTACGCCTTGTAGTCATAAGTTGGGCCACGCCCTATTCCCAAAAGTCTATAGCAGTCTTATTTATTGTTAACAGATTGTTGTAACTATTAACACTATTAACTTTGAGTAAATCGTCCATAATCAAAAAATGTCAATAATCGACTTTTAGTGCATTAGCTTCGGTAGCTTTCGTGTTTCTGTAAATTACCGTTATATGGTAGGTGAGCGTGGTTATTGCCCGATTTAGAAGATTTTCAACAGATTTCTTAGCTAGACCCTAGGAAAGGCTCTCACCGAGTTTGGTAAGGGTTGGTGAAGCGGGTACTAAGATAGAGCAGTTTATCATAAGTAGGCGGGGTCACGTCCATTTTCCAAAAATTTCATAATAACATTATTTTTTACCACAACTCTACTTCACATACCAATTTTCAACAAACTAGAATAGATATTTATTGAAATATCGTAGTGTCTGCATTTCTCGAAAATACCGTTATAGCGAAGAGGGCGTGGCTACAGTCCAATTTCGCCTATTTTCAATACCAACCTACCTTGAATAAAGGGCAACCTACATACTAAACTTCTCAACTTTTGCTCGATTTATCATGTACACAAACGAAGGTACGGACGGCCGGACGGACAGACATGGCTTAATCAACTTCTCTTTTCATTCTGAGCATTTATGTATGTATGCATTTCCTTATATCTATTTCGATTCGTCTTGTCTGTTACAAATAACTGTTATGTAAACAAAGCTATAATACCCCTGCAGAAGTGCGCTCGGGTATAGAAGATGCATTCTTTTACAACCACCGTGCTACAAAAGAACACTCGCTTAAATCACGAAATCCATGCAAAGCAACAACAGAAACTCGGCTATTTATCCGAGTTCAGCTGTTAATGGGAAAGTGGAGGGGAATTTTTGTTTTCGAATATACATGATTTATATTTTAAATAAGTATATATATTACGCTTATATTATATCATCAGCACCTGAGTTCAAGCCCTGGTCAAAGCAGCATCGCAAAAAATATAGACAAAGGTTTTTTCTTAACAGTGGTCGTCCCTCGGCAGGCAATGGCAAACCTCCGAGTGTATTTCTGCCATGAAACACAGCGTCTCATAAAAATGTAATCTTAACTTTTCGGGACTTTTCGAGACCTTCCAAAATTGTCTCTGTATTTTTCGGGAATTTTGCAAATTTTTGGGGAATTTTCTTCCCATTTACTTATATATGTATATGTATATATTTTTGGGACTGCTTGGGATCTTCCTTCGCAATTTTTTTACATTTTTGGGACTGTTTGGGATTGACCTATTTGGTTTCTTCGGAACTTTTCGTGTTATTTCTGGATGTTTTGGAAGCTTTCAGAAAATTTTACCGAGGGTTTTAATCTAAAGTTACATTTTAATTTAACTTTTCTTGAGATGACTATTATAAAATTGGATTTCTTAGAGATAGAAATACGTTTTTTAATAATGGTCTCTTTATTCAACCAAAACATTTTACCGTCGACCCATTTCTTCAGGTTCGAAATCAGGAACAATAATAATTTAAGAATATGTAGTATCAAAACAGACTTAACGTGTCTATGTGTGCCCCATTTTCCATACTTCGATGAAAACAAACAGGATGGTGGAAGCTTATCATAAAAAAACAATATTCACTCTATTCTACATTGCAAAGCTGCATACTTCGAAACACATGCAAAAAAAAATACTTGTATATTTTTCAATAGGTTAAGTCTATTTGCTTACAGACATGCATTTATGCATATGCGTAGGCGTACCTAGATACGTACATGCATGTGTATACTTAGGCTTACACAAATGTTTTAAAAGTAGCAAAATCGCCTATTTGCACAGGTGTAAAAAATAGTTGTGGGTTATAATTCCACTTCTGTAAATGTATGAGTGTAAAGAGTACTCTAACTGTTTGTAGGGGAATAAAAATAACAGCAGCGTTTATACGACAAGGTAGGTGATCAAAATGCAGCGACACGATTTGCACTGCAGTAAATAACATTTTCGCACCAGATAAACGCTCAAAAATAATACACTAAATGGTACACACCCACATACACTGGAATCGTCATCACCCATGCAACGCCGACATCATTCATCAAATAAGTACAACTGTCAGCTTTATGCCTGTGTGTGTGTGTTTGTAGCTGCTTGGTTATTAAGTGGTGCAAATTCAATACGAAATTCGTGTTAGCCTAGTTTTTCCCCAGAACACGACAACCGCAAAATAACGAAAAAATAAGCTACAAATAATTGCTAACAATGCAACACCTACACAGCAGGCCACCAACTAACAAACCATCAAAAAGCCACCTAGACTGGGCACGACATACAATTTGAATGTCAAGCGCAGAAATGTAAATGATGAATGTTGCTTATTAAATTGATGCTGTGACGCGAGCGGCGACTATCGAATAATGGTTGACGGCTCATGACTGACGGCGGTAACGATGGCGGTGATGGTGATGACGTCGACCGAAACAAATCAGCAACAAGAGTTGCATTGTGTAACAATTAAATCAAAACGACAGAGGTGAAGAAACAAGTATCATAAAGTGTCTATAAAAAGAAGCATACATAGGGAATATTGCTTGAAAGAATGGTAGTCTAAGAAAAGGCGTAAAATGCAATCAATTAGCTAGCGAACAATATTTTTCGGAAGAATGTATCACACCCCAGTAGGGCAGTACGCATAAAGTAGTTAGCCAGAAGAACTGGTATTGATAAATTAGGTTTACTGGTTTTTAAATTAGCGGAAATCTCGAACTTAACACAATTGTCAATTCTGGCAACTATCTGGAGCCCTTTACTGTCCTTCGAAAGACTAATTGAA